GAATAATTTTGGTTATCACATTTGATTATATCTCTATGTGATTTTATACTATTCATAAGTACACTGAATGCATTCAGAGCCAGGGCTGTGCTTACCCAAATACTTTCTTTTGTGCTAAAGAACAAAAAAGTACAGGTGAACATTTTCATTTTTTCATATTTAATATTAGGTTTCTTTTTTAATGGGTATTATATTCTTGTTCAGTTATATATCGTGGTTGTTTTGTTTTATTTATGCGTTTAAATATTTCCCATTTTTTTCCTAGAAAGGATTGTTGTGAGCATGTACATAAATATAGCTATTGCTTCATTTTGCCTTTGTGGGGTCAGGCATTTTATATACTAATATGTGATATGCTAACAAGTACCCAAAATTTAATCCATCCTCAAAACCATGCTGCAATTAAGCAATACCTGAGAAGCATGTAAGCATAATTATTTTGCTTTGGGAATGTCCACCTAAAAGATGAGGTAACCACGCTTGACGTTCTCTTCTTAGCCCTCTCAGAAAACACTGGGGTATAACTGGATCTTGCTCTTGAAATGCTTGTATGTACCCATGCTGTAACTTCCCACAGGAGCACTTTCTAGTTAGCCTGAAGTGCTGGGAAGGACCCACAGAGGTGAGCATTTTACCAGAGCGTGGTCTCCCACCCTTGAGCCGCAGCAAGTCTAAAATGTCCTTCACGGGCCTCTGAGTCATGTCAGCTTTCAACAGCCAGCCCACAGTGGGAGTGTCAGCCTACTTCTGCTGCCTGCTGGTTCCCCTCATTGTAAAACTGTTCCAGGTTTTTAACATTACTTGTTAATAAGCATTTTGGAAAAGATATTTTTTGGTCCCTTTGGCTTTGCTTCCCACTAACTGACCTCCTTCGTGTCCAAGATTTGGACTCTGATGCAACTTGTAGCCGTCCCACTCTTGGAAAGAGCAGAAAAAGCAAACAGTGTTTGCCTAGGAATGGGTGTGTGTGCAGAAAACGCCCACAGCCAGCCCAGCTGCTCTGGGAATTGGGGATGGGAATCAAGGCAGTGACTATTTTTTATGTCAGTCATGACCAAACTAGTGACCTACTATGAAAATGAAAACCCTGTAGAGTCTTTCTGACTACTTGTATATCCCAATTCCAGTTTCTGTGGAAATAGAAATATCAGCCATGCCATTGCGATCCGATTCCTCTTCGGATCATGGTTGTTTTGTTTTATTTATGCATTTAAATATTTCCCATTTTTTTTCCTAGAAAGGATTGTTGCGAGCATGTACATAAATATAGCTATTGCTTCATTTTGAAGAATTTTCATGTAATGAGCATGTGTTGCTCTGAACTCTATCAACTAGCAGCAATACTTGAAGATCATCTTCCAGTTGAGGAGGACATCAGCACAGAGCTTCCCAGACTTGACACCATCGCACCCTGACATGTCCCTGAAACATCCCTTAAAATACATGCCAGAGAAGAGAGCCACAATCAGCAGTTATGTTAAGTTAGAGATTTAGGACAAAGAGAGGAGACAAAGAATCTGGCTCACCAAGTCAAAACGAATATTTTTAGGATCAAAGCTGTAAAATGGCAGAGAGTCATTATCATTCCTAACACACTAAACACCTCTTCATCACCTTCCTTCCCAAATGCCCAATTCATTATGGAATAATTGTTAACTTCTGTGGAGAATGATTTCATTCTATCATGCAAATTTCGGTCTTTCTAAGTAATACTATTGTATGAGACTACACGGGACTAAACTGGAAAGGGCTGCTGGTCCAATCAGGCAAGGTATGAAGCAAGAGAAAACACTTTTGAGTAAACATTTTTTAGTGATTTAAGGAGGACAGTGTTGAGGACATTATTTGAAAGCTTCTGTTTCCAGAGTCACACCACGGGGCTGATGGGCCAGCCCAGAAAGGACATAAACACTTACAGACTCTCCTATTTGAGAGATGGGGTTTAGTGATAAACACGGGAGCTGTTTGCTGCCAGACCTGCTAGGCTGCCTCGGTGGCAGTGAGGCTTGCCTGTGCTTTGATGGAGATGGTAAACAGCAAGTTGGAGCCAGGCACATATGGCTTTTCTATTTTAGCTCTTTTCAGTGCTTTCTTTTCATCAGGAGTGATGTACAACCAGCACGTTAATCTCACGAATACAAGAGTTTTGCAAATTCTGCTGGGATACAGCTGGGCCTGTTGAGTTAACCTGGATGGAAAACAGGAGGAGGAGGCTGATGGTCTGAAATCCAGGCAAAGCTGGTGCAGCCACGGCATTCAGCTCTCAAGGGATGTGAGGGCAGGCTGCTACATGAAAGGATGTATGTGAGAGGTTTTATCTGAGGAACTCAGGCATAGCTGGCCATGTCCCTTTCTATCCAGGTCTACTGTAATGAAGTCTTCAAATTAAGGCTATAAAAGGAAAGCCATCTGCATGGAAGTTTTGGCTGAGAGAAGAACTTCATGAAAATCCAATCTGGATTGGGGAGGACAGGACCTATGCATAGGAACAACATTTTTCAGTCAGATTTATTCATTTATAATATATGTTACCAGGCAAGAAGCAATTTACAAGTATCAGCAAGGGTTCGATTGCTTTCTTATATATCCCCCAAAGCCCTGCTTAAAAAGAAAAACAATCCTTTAATGGAGATAAGTGTTACAAAGTCTTAAGGATGCCCTAAGCTTTTAAAAGGTTGAACATTCAAAATTAAGGCTATAAAGTAAAATAATAAGATCTTTGTTAATTACAGGAAATCACAGGAAGAATACCCAGCAGACTTTGACTTTTGCTCATGACTTCATTAGTCTTCACTCTTCTCTAACTGTACTATCCAAAGCAGGCTTTCTCTATACTAGGCCTGGGGAAATTACTCTCAAAGAGGGCAGTGTTCTTCTCTGCAGGGAAGACTTACATGTCGAAGAAGGGGGGACATGCTGGGGGGTGTAGGGGTGTGTATGTGTGTATGAGCATGTGGAGGTGTATTTCCTCTGCATATGCGAGCAGGATAAACCCCCCATAATCCAAGAGGAAGCAGTCAATGACCTGCTACGCCACCTGGATGCTCACAAGTCTATGGGGCCAGAGGGGATCCACCCGAGAGTGCTGAGGGAGCTGGCGGAGGAGCTCACCAAGCCACTCTCCATC